ATCTCTATCCGGTTAGATACTGTTTCATATTGAGCTTTACCAAACCCCAAGCACTTTTTCAGGAGGACATGCACTTAATCTAAACCTTTGGCCTGGTCACCTGAGGTCCCTTGAAGTGAATACTACTAAAGGCCGTGAACGCTATAATTAATATGGGTGACGAAACTGAGATAACAGTAAGGTTGGTCTACCACCTTAGAAATCCCTAGCCCCATAATTCTATCTTAGAGAACCGGTAGTATTAGTATATTTAATCAGTTTAATTTTAATTTTGTTAAGTTTGGTTTAGCTTAGTTCAGTTGGTTTAGTTTAGTATATAGTGGTTATTTAAGTAAATTTATGCAACTTTGGTAGTTTCTAAATAAGCTAAAGTAAACATAATAAAACGAAAAGTAACCACAGGACTAGGGGCTAGGGGTATCTAAGGTGTTCGAGTAACTTTACTGTTACCAAAACTGGTAAATTGTGTGGACATTTGCACACCGACTGCAGTGTATCGGAAATATAAGAGCTAAACGACCTTAAGAAAGATAAGACGCGGCGAATTGTCGAAACTAGTACAGACACTCTTCGAACTATTTTTTGAACTGCGCGAGTACCGCGAATGAGTGCGTGCATGTGCAGTTTTCGAACATGTATAACTGTCCAGGGGAATAACCGAGCGAGGAGAGAATCAGTTTAGCATAGCGGTAAAGACCGTGTTCGAAGGAACGTTTTGTTGGCTTATCGGGTGTTTGAATGTCCTCTGAGAGAGACAATGGAATATTCGGGTTGTCAATTAGTCAGCCATTGGATGTTGAGCAGAGTACTTGCCAGTCACATGCATGGCTTGTTTGGCGTTTTCTACATGTCGTTTTGGCTTGAGCGAAGGTTTTGCTCGATTCCTCCCCAGGCGAATCTCGGTAATGGTTGGTTAGTAGCTCTTGTTGGATCAGAAATCCCTGCTGGAGTCCAAACTAGGTGCAGTTAGGAGACGCAGAAAAGCCGCTGCCTCAACCGGCTTAAGCCAAAGGTCCACGGGGGTGAGTTGGGTGTCTGGCCGGGAGCTGCAGGCGAAGAGATGCTGACAGTCATGCGGCGAGACGCCGCAGTCGGGACAGCTATCGGGTGTGGACGGGTCGAGTCGGTGTTGGTACTGACGAAGGAGCATGGATTAGCCACTGCGTAGCTGCGCCAGGGTACAGCAAGTGACTCTCGGGAGTTGTCGTTCCGTGGCTGCAATCGGAGATGTATAGCCACCTAAAAGGACCGGGGGTTGGTAGCCGAATTTTGCTTCCACAACAGCTCTCTGGTGAAGACGCCGGAGGCCTGTCATGATGGCGGAAGCCTCAATTGGCCGATCCGAGGGACATGATGCCCCAGCTTCCTTGTTGAGAGCTCTAAGAGACGGTTGAATAATGTGGCTATGTTCAGGGGCGTGGCAGCGGTGGTGATTTGGATGAATGTGTTGCGAACAGGTCCACCAAAACTGCTGACCTAGGAGTGCTTGTGAGGGGCGGTCAGTAGGACAGAAGCCTCCGCATGGAGATGATTAATAGGCAACATTTTCTAACAACCCGTGATTGAGCGGAGGGCGGCATTCTGTGCTGGCTGGAGGCGGCCGAGGGGGGAAGAGGTGAGGTAGGAGACCAGATTGGTGCCGCATAGGTTGGATGCGGCTTGGCAAG